ACACACACACACACACACACACACACACACACACACACACACACACACACACTGGTCTGGGCACTCTGCACCAGAGCAGGAGTTTGCAACACACCCCCAGAGCTGACACTTGCTTTCCTCCTCAGCGTCCGGACTCTTCCAGTTTCTTAACAAAACCTTTAGAATTTGGGGAGAAAGGAACGGTAACACTAAATTGTCATTTTATAAATGATGAAATGGAAGCTTAGAGAAAGCAGGAAGTCGCAGCCTATAAAGAATACGGTAGCTAGACATCTTCTACTCTCTGCCATAGAGCTGCGGTCAAAACAACAACAAAAAGACTGGCTTAAATCTTAGATAGGGGGTGTGTTCCTGTGCATTAATTAGAAAAGTCCCCCACAAAAATGGTTTTTAACCTTCTATGGGACCTGAGCGCCTCCGGGAATCTACGGAAAGCTGTGAATTCTTTCCCCCAAAGGGAGCCCAGAAGGGCACAAACATAATTTTGCCTATAATTTCAGAATCTTGCTTTTAAGTGTTGGCCGTACGGTTATGCAAAATAATTCAAATCAGCTTTTACAGACATAGTCCAAACCTGAAAACTTTCTGTGGGAGGAGGGGGTTTGCAATAGTGAGTGAAAAACAATTACAATACCGTTTTTTTCCCCTATTTGAAACAAAACACGAAATTATGATTTGTTGGGAGGCGCATGCAGATTAAAATTAAGTGTATTTATCCTCCCGCTACCACAGCCAGATGATAACACTATTTAGGGTTCCAAAGTGTCCTACAAACGGGCCCCTGCACTAAAAATACCCTAAGGACACACTGCAAGCATCGCCAGCCTCTATCTGCACGAGTGGCTTTCACACCCTGTACCAACACCACATTCAGTAAAGGCGAGTCTACGCCACAGGAAGGCACAGGAAATATTCACACTGTTTACTGTCATTTACACACCTGCAATTGAAGATGATACCTCTTTCCCCTGAAGGAAAGATATTGCATTCACGTTGTGGCATTAAGTTACTGAGTTTCTAATAATACCTTTCACTTGAGAAAAATAACGATTATCCAAAAACTTGCCTGCTGATTTAAGGGTCCGTAGTTCTTCTTTTCTTACCTCTGAGGATTCCGGGGAAGGGCTAGAAAACTGCTCTGCCTTCGGTGGGGATGGGATTTCCCTCCGGGTGACCTCTGCGTGCCGGAAGGCCCTGTTTTACAGCGGGGACTCTGCAAGCCGGGTAACATGAGCTGACTCCCACTGCAAATAGCAACGCCTGCCGTGAGTGAGAGCCCAAATATAGACCTGCCTCGGCTGTCCTGCCACTTCTTACTGCTCAAGTGACACCGGGCGAGGTCACATGCTGTCCCCCCCAGCTTCTTCGTTTACTGTGAGGACTTGAGGCCTGTAGCCCCACCGAGCTGCTCAGGTGGTTGGTCACGTACAGAGCGCTGGGGGCACCACAGGCCCTACAGAGAAGGGGGGCTTCCGAGAGCCCTCGTATTGTGCACCCTCCTCGCGGGCTGAGGGTCTTTGTCCAAAATGTTTTGAACAAGCACAACTCTGACAGTAATCGAACGCAATTTCATTTTTGTTCCCCTCTCACCATTCCTTTACCATTTACTCATGGTGGGAATTATTCCCCTCTCCGGCTAAAAATCCAGCAGACCCAGAACTTTCTGCTCTCTCTTCGGTGACAGTCAGTCCTAGGGTCGTTTGAAGGCACAGTCTTCATTGGGTAACTGAAGATATAGTCTGGAATATTGATGGAAAAGTCAAACTTAGTTTAGCCAGTACCAGAATCCTCTCTCCTACCCACCCTGGGCCTCTCCAGCTGGAAGTCTGCCCCGGGAAAGGGGGAACAAGGGCTGCCTCTTCTCCCCGCACCTCCTCCCTGAGCTGCCGGTGGCACGCCAGGGCCGGAGGCGCCAAGGTGATAAGACAGCTCCTAGCGGAGCTGATGCCACAGTGAGTGCTAATGTCAGGCTCTCTGGGCTGGCAGGTGCTTAGAGCTCTCTCTTGCACACTTGTGTGTATGTACACGCCTCTCTCTCCCATGCACCCCCTCCCTCCCTCATGGGGAGTTTTTGTACATCTCTGGAGTTTCCCATCACGGAGACCTCTCTCCTGAGTTCCCACAACCAGGCTGAAAACCCTTCTGTTCCGGGGGGTCCCTTGCATTCCCCTTCTGGGCCCAGGTGAGCCACCTCCAAGAGCTCTCAAATGAGGTCTCCTCACCCATGCAGTTGGCTCTCTTAGGCGGGATCTAGATGACTCCTTGTTGACGCTGTCTTCATGCTGGCTCACATCTGGATCTTAGGGGGCAGGTCCATCCTTGGTCCCGGCAAACTCTGGGATGCAGAGGGACCCAGCGCAGCTACTTCCCCTGGCTCAACTCAGTTTGGGCAAGTATTAAAAAAAATAACGTAGAGTGGCTGGGTGGTTCGGTTGGTCCAAGTCTTGATTTTAGCTCAGGTTGTGATCCCAGGGTCGGGGGATTGAGACATGCTCGGTGCGAAGCCTGCTTGGGATTTTCTCTCTCTCTCTTTCCCTCTGCCCCTCTCCCCCATGTGCACTCTCTCTCTTTCTCTCTCAAAAAAATGATAATGTAGGGGCGCCTGGGTGGCGCAGTCGGTTAAGCGTCCGACTTCAGCCAGGTCACGATCTCGCGATCTCGCGGGATCTCGTGATCTCGCGGTCCGTGAGTTCGAGCCCCGCGTCAGGCTCTGGGCTGATGGCTCGGAGCCTGGAGCCTGTTTCCGATTCTGTGTCTCCCTCTCTCTCTGCCCGTCCCCCGTTCATGCTCTGTCTCTCTCTGTCGCAGAAATAAACAAACGTTGAAAAAAAAAATAAAAAAAAAATGATAATGTAGATGTCTACTTTTTATGTGGAAAATATCCACAATATATCTGTAATTAGAAAAAAGAGTTTGTAAAATCTCATTGCAATATATCATATATATATTATCCAGATGATATATATTTATAATAGAAATATACAAATATGCTACATATAATCTATAATATAAATATATAAATATATGATATATAACATGAATATAGAATACGTAGCATAATATAGAAATACATATGACATTATATATAATGATACACACAAAAAATAAGAGCAGGGTTTATCTCTTTTGAACTATTTTACTTTTTTCTTTATGTCTTTGATGGTACCTATTTTAATAACAATTATATATATAGTTAAAATATATATATTTTTAATGTTTATTTTTGAGAGAGACAGGGAGAGCACAAGCAGGGGAGGAGCAGAGAGAGAGGGAGAATCCTGAGCAGGCTTCACACTGTCAGCATTGAGATAGATGAGGGGCTGGAACTCAGAACCGTGAGATCATAACCTGAGCCAAAATCAAGAGTCCAACACAACCGACTGAGCCACCCGGGTTCCCCCTGGAATCTTCATTTTTTATTAATAATATATGATATGATAGCTCAGAGAAAGGTAAATACTCCAAAAGAACCGTAACAACAATTATTAGGTTTGTCCATATTTTTTTCTAAGAATATACAAACATCCTTCCCTCACACACACAAAAATAGAAATTACTCTTATAATTAGAAAGCCTGCTAGTGTCATTTTGACAAAGCAAATAAATTGGAAAGGCTACTCAAAAGGATAAAATAGCATAAAACAAATGCAGTGAAAAGACATATTGTAAAGAATATACAAGATATTAAAAGAGACTATTAAAGAATTATTGTTGTGATGAATCACTGAATTCTACTCCTGAAACCTACACTGCATGTTAACTAAAATTTAAATAAAAAAAAGAGTTGTAAGTAAGTCGTATTAACTAAGATAATATACTTAAAAATGCTTTGAGGAAAAACAAATCCCTCCTCTCTCCAAGAAGAATTGGCAAGCCCAGCGGTTGTGAGTCTACCGGGGCAGTCGAGGTGAGGAGCTCGAACAGAGGCAACTTTAGACCTTAAAGCTACATTCCACACGGTTTTCTAGATACCCTGGATCATCTCCGTGGGGAGAGATGTCCTAACCATTGCTTCAGGCTGGCCCTGGCTCGTCGTTGTTTTCCTTTGGCCATAACAGCAAGTGCAAACCTAATTCCAGGCTTTCCCAGCTCGCAACCTTCAAAGCTCTTTTTCCGGTTCCCGCATCTAGCCCGCAGGAGCCTTGTCTTGGCGAAGGGCTCCTCCTCGCGGCTTCGCGGCTGCCGGGGCATCTCCCCCGCCCCTCCCCAACCACCCCCTCTTCCTGGTGCACTCACGGGATGGAAGCTGACAGACGCTGTTCCTCCGTCTACACTGTGCGTTTCCTGGACAGAGAGACCAGGGCCGTCTTGTTGCCTGTTGCATGAGCTCCAGGTCACATCCCATCCCCACGTGCAAATTAGACATCCCAACCTCCTTAAACAGGTCTCTGGTAGCCGGGTGGACTTACCAGCCTGACTGTGCATGTTAGGACAAGTTTCTTTGCTGGGTCTGTCTCCTTGGCTGTAAAATGAAGAGTGGGAACGCAGATCGTAGTTAAACATGCTGGCTGGGAGATGGGACGCTTTGAAGACAGAAAGAGAGAGAGATTTTTGCGTATGCCCCACGGCACCGCCCCCGGCCCCAAACCTGCACACAGCACACGCTCCGCGAAAGCTTGTTGAATTGATAACAACAAATGTGTGGCTTCCACTCAGTGCTTGGGGCTCAGAGGCCCTCAGTAAATAACTCTTAACGTCTGATGTAACGTGTGGCCTCCACCAAGTTTGCACCGTTCTTGGGCGCGTGTGTTCTCTAGCGCCCTGGTGAGCGAGGACCACAGTCGGTCCCCGTTCTCAACGCGTTCGAAGTTTACCGCAGAAGGCGATGGCGATAACTCGGTCGCTTTTCCTAATTCACTGTGTACAAAGGTGGAAAAGGTGAGGGAAGATAGGTAATCCTCGGGCTCCGGACAGGGTTGCGACAGGGCTGGATTCCGACGGCCCGGACAGACACGGGCTTCTGACCTTCTCATTGGCTGCCGAGAACCCGCCCAGGCCGCCGACAGCCAATCAGAGGCGCAGGGGGAGGGGGCTGCGCGTCGGGGAGCTGACGCCAGCACAGTTCGAGAAGAATGTCGCGGTCCGCGGCGGGCCGCGGGGGGTGCGGGAAGGCCGGGCCCGCGCGAGCCGAGCCCTTCGGCCGCTGAGCCGCCAGCCATGGAGGACGAGCAGCCCGACAGCTTGGAGGGCTGGGTGCCGGTCCGCGAGGACCTCTTCGCCGTGCCCGAGCGGCACCAGCTGCGCTTCCTCGTAGCCTGGAACGACGCGGAGGGCAAGTTCGCGGTGACCTGTCACGACCGCACGGCGCAGCGGCGGCGGCAGCGCGAGGGGAGCCGGCCCGAGCCCGAGCCCGCCGCGTCCCCCCCCAGCTGGTCGGGCCTGCTGTCGGCCGCCGGGCTCCGCGGCGCGCACCGAGCCCTCCAAGCT